GAGCCCGCGTCCTACCACTAGACTACCGTGTCTCACAACCCTTCGGTCATGAGCCCGCGTCCTACCACTAGACTACCGTGTCTCACAACCCTTCGGTCACGAGCCTGTCTTACCACTAGACTACTGTGTCTCACAACCCTTTGGTCACGAGCCCGTGTCCTACCACTAGACTACCGTGTCTCGACATCCTTTCGGTCACGAGCCTGCGTCCTACCACTAGACTACCGTGTGTCACAATCCTTCGGTCACGAGCCTGCGTCCTACCACTAGACTACCGTGTCTCACAACCCTTCGGTCATGAGCCCGCGTCCTACCACTAGACTACCATGTCTCACAACCCTTCGGTCACGAGCCTGTCTTACCACTAGACTACTGTGTCTCACAACCCTTTGGTCACGAGCCCGTGTCCTACCACTAGACTACCGTGTCTCGACATCCTTTCGGTCACGAGCCTGCGTCCTACCACTAGACTACCGTGTGTCACAATCCTTCGGTCACGAGCCTGCGTCCTACCACTAGACTACCGTGTCTCACAACCCTTCGGTCATGAGCCCGCGTCCTACCACTAGACTACCATGTCTCACAACCCTTCGGTCACGAGCCTGTCTTACCACTAGACTACTGTGTCTCACAACCCTTTGGTCACGAGCCCGTGTCCTACCACTAGACTACCGTGTCTCGACATCCTTTCGGTCACGAGCCTGCGTCCTACCACTAGACTACCGTGTGTCACAATCCTTCGGTCACGAGCCTGCGTCCTACCACTAGACTACCGTGTCTCACAACCCTTCGGTCATGAGCCCGCGTCCTACCACTAGACTACCATGTCTCACAACCCTTCGGTCACGAGCCTGTCTTACCACTAGACTACTGTGTCTCACAACCCTTTGGTCACGAGCCCGTGTCCTACCACTAGACTACCGTGTCTCGACATCCTTTCGGTCACGAGCCTGCGTCCTACCACTAGACTACCGTGTGTCACAATCCTTCGGTCACGAGCCTGCGTCCTACCACTAGACTACCGTGTCTCACAACCCTTCGGTCATGAGCCCGCGTCCTACCACTAGACTACCATGTCTCACAACCCTTCGGTCACGAGCCTGTCTTACCACTAGACTACTGTGTCTCACAACCCTTTGGTCACGAGCCCGTGTCCTACCACTAGACTACCGTGTCTCGACATCCTTTCGGTCACGAGCCTGCGTCCTACCACTAGACTACCGTGTCTCACAATCCTTCGGTCACGAGCCTGCGTCCTACCACTAGACTACCGTGTCTCACAACCCTTCGGTCATGAGCCCGCGTCCTACCACTAGACTACCATGTCTCACAACCCTTCGGTCACGAGCCTGTCTTACCACTAGACTACTGTGTCTCACAACCCTTTGGTCACGAGCCCGTGTCCTACCACTAGACTACTGTGTCTCGAAATCCTTTCGGTCACGAGCCCGCGTCCTACCACTAGACTACCGTGTCTCACAACCCTTCGGGCACGAGACTGGCTTACCACTAGACTACCGTGTCTCACAACCCTTCAGTCACGAGACTGTCTTACCACTAGACTACCGTGTCTCACAACCCTTCGGCCACGAGACTGTCTTACCACTAGACTACCGTGTCTCACACCCCTTCGGTCACGAGCCCGTGTCCTCCCACTAGACTCCCGTGTCTCACACTCCTTCGGTCACGAGCCTGTCTTACCACTAGACTACTGTGTATCACAACCCTTTGGTCACGAGCCCGTGTCCTACCCCTAGACTACTGTGTCTCGAAATCCTTTCGGTCACGAGCCCGCGTCCTACCACTAGACTACCGTGTCTCGACATCCTTTCGGTCGCGAGCCCGCGTCCTACCACTAGACTACCGTGTCTCTACATCCTTTCGGTCACGAGCCTGCGTCCTACCACTAGACTACCGTTTTTTACAACCCTGCGGTCATGCGCCCGCGTCCTACCACTAGACTACCATGTCTCACAACCCTTCGGTCACGAGCCTGTCTTACCACTAGACTACCGTGTCTCACACCCCTTCGGTCACGAGCCTGCGTCCTACCACTAGAATACCGTGCTTCCAATGTATAATGTACTGTGCATGTTCACATAACCAACAGTTAAGTCATTTACCTTTTTCTTAAGCCAGTTGACCGCCCACTGCCATTTGGGAGGGATCTGCATCAGGTAGTTCTTGGCCGCAGAGCACCTGTTGGCCAGGCTGACCAGGAACTTTATACAAGTGTACGACCTTCGACTGTCGAGCAAGTGGTTTTGCCGTATCACACCTAAAAGATAACATTCATGAATATTGACTCGCGCCTATAGGACGTTCATGGATAAATGACTTTTACATCACACCTTGAGGAAAGCATTCCTCGATAACTGACTCGCGCCTTGGTCTAAAGGACATTTATGAATTGACTCACATCTATAAGAATTGATTCACACTTTCAGGACATTCAAAAACAGTCGATAACTGACTCACGCCAACATTACATTCATGGATAACTGACTCACACCTATTAGACATTCATGGTTATATTATTTTTCATAGATAATTGACTCACACTTTTAGGACATTCATGCATAATTGGCTCGTACCTATATGATCATTCATGGTTTATTGACTCGCACCTGCAGGACATTCATGGTTTATTGACTCGTACCTGCAGGACATTCATGGGTAATTGACCTGTACCTCAGGACATTCATGGGTAATTGACCTGTACTTTCAGGACATTCATGGGTAATTTACTTGCACCTAGGCCTATAGGACATTCATGGGTAATTGACTTACACCTATACGTCATTCATGGGTAAATGATGTTGATGGATAATTGACTCGCACCTTCAGGGCATTCATTGTTTACCGATTTTGCACCAATAGAACATTTTTGGGTGAATGACTTGACCCAACAGAACATAATCATGAGTCAATGATTAAACCTCAACTGTAAACAATTAGCATCTGAAGGAGTGCTTACCGGTGCAATGTTTAGAAGAATTAAACATCATTGTTTGGTTATTTCTCTAATGCATAACTTACATTGTATCTAAGTATTTTCAATTAAATTGATTAATTCTGCATCATGTTATAGACTCTTTCAAAAGGATTAATTGCAATGTCCTACTGAGAATCTATATTTTACTTTGATATTCTACAAACTTTCCCTTTTTCAAGCTAGCCAAAATGGCTGTTATTCACCTCTGAAGTAAACATCCTTAGTAGCATCTGTAACTTGCTGTGGGTTCATTTTTTACATGTACTGAGAGACAAAACCAGCAGCTTTGGTGCCCTAATGGACACAACCCATGAAGAGCTTTATGGTGGGTAAAAATAGTAACACTCTTACCAGGCATTGAACCCAGATTTTCTGCCAGGAAGATCAATGGTTTAACTGCTGGACTGATCCACCCATTTAATGATATAAACTACCTTACTGCAACATGAATCTCCCATCCAAAAGAGATCAACATATTAAGGATCTTATCTCCCTTCCAAAAGAGTTCAACATTAAGGATCTTATCTCCCTTCCAAAAGAGTTCAACACTAAGGATCTTATCTCCCTTCCAAAAGAGTTCAACATTAAGGATCTTATCTCCCTTCCAAAAGAGATCAACATTAAGGATCTTATCTCCCTTCCAAAAGAATTCAACGTTAAGGATCTTATCTCCCTTCCAAAAGAGATCAACATTAAGGATCTTATCTCCCTTCCAAAAGAGATCAACATTAAGGATCTTTAATAAAATCCTTATGAATGGAATGTATATTTATTAAAAACCCTTTTTTTAAATGAAACGAAACAATGTATGCATTAATAGATTAACAGTAAGCTATTCTGAATCATAACTTAATGACAACTTAAACCTTTTTAAGGGAGATAACTGTAACACAAATTGCAAATGTGTAAAGTAGCATATAACCTTAATGACACCTGTTTGACTCCTTGGATATTTCAGCAAATGTACATACCTATGAGTCCCTCATACTGTGTCCCTGAGTCATCTATTGTTCCCTCTATGACCAGTTCCAAGCGAGCCAGCTGTACTGGGTCTTCTAACGACTGCAACAAAAATTCAAATTATACAAACTGTACTTTCTCAACATTCACTCTTACCAAAATACTCGACTCACTAGCACTACATTAAATTAGGGTAGAGAGAGCCCCAGGACTCTTTGTTAACTCTCAACACAGAAGAGTTCTAATTTATTCGGCATCTTTCTGACTTTAAGTTGCTCGCCCATTTATTGTAGCATAGAGCTATATTCCCAAAAGAAGTTCATTTATTCATTTTTCACAAAAACATCTCCACCAGGAGCTTCTTTAACACTGCTAAGAATTATTTCTAAAAGGGTCTTATTCCCTTAAAAGGCTAGTAACCTACAATTGCCTTTATATTAATAATAAATCTAACAAGAAAATACTTTTACAATGCCTGTATACAGCATGTTTTTCAAAATCCTGGCTTGATAATTTTACACAATTTTAATATTGTTGGCATATTCAGCTGAAATAGTTTTATGAATGTCACCACTTATTCTTATATAATAGTTTTTTTTTATCACCTCATAAATTGAACAACCACCTCATAAATTGAACAACAATCAAAATATACATTTTCTATTTCAACATTTATATTCTACCAATTATCATAGAATCTGATAAGTAATTTTTTATTTCAATAATAACCTCTTTTGGGATTTTTTTCAACTAATAGTGGTCCCACAGGATGTTCAGTTGGCCTATTTAGAACCCATCAGATGACTGCTGGGGACAAGCTAGCTCAATGGTTAAAGCGTCCATCAAGGACTTGGATCCCCAGCTCGGATATTTAATTGCATATTATTTCTAGAACAAGAACATGAGTGCAGTGTATTCCTGTTCATTGAATAGCCCATTTGTCAAATAAATACAGGAAATTAACAGGAATGTGTAACTGCAGTACCCCTGCTAGAACTCAGCGGAAGGCAGAATACGCCTTGTTTTGTGATGAAAATTGTAAAATTGAAAAGTAATTGCAATGTATATTAAGTGCTAACAATGGGAGTAAAATCACCCAAAGGTTCTTTAGATATCACCATCAGATGTCCAGATACAACAAGCCCTAACTGTAACAGGGACTGTTACTGCAACATCGCAAAAACTGAATATCCCGCCCAAAAGAGGGGCAGCTGGGCCGAGTAGTTAAGGTATCTGATTGTCTTCGATCACTTGCCCTTCACTACTGGGTCACAGGTTCGAGGCCTAGGTGGGGCAGTCATCAGGTACTGGTTGCAGGTCGGTGGTTTTATCTCTGGGTACTCTTGAATTTGCAAATTGCTTCACCACCAAAACATGGCATGTCTTTAATTAAGCAATGAATGTTTTAGCAAATGTTATTATGGTCCTATAACACACATTTGTATTGCCAACAAACTTACATAAAATCCTTTTGGGCTTTATTTAGTTTGTCATCAATAGCAATGTGTGTTATATAGGACCTAGCATAACAACATTTGATTACGTGGATGGTCCAGCTCCACGCAATAAGCGTAAATTTCCCCCGCGCATAATATTCCACGTTTACAGCAGGTCCATCCTTCTGTGCATTCCAATGTAGAACTTTTAGGTTTTAATCATTGGATTGACATGTGTGTAGGGTAAGTCTAATTCACCAGACTTAAATGCTCCCTTTAATTCCATGCTCTGAGTAAAGAATAATGGCCAGTGAGTTAGATTTTAATGTCATGTCATTACTTTCTGATAACATAGATATTTCTTTACCCTCAATATGTCTTCTGAATAATTCATAGAGTTTAAACATGATATTTGAAAGCAAGCCAATTGTACACAGTCAGCACAACTGTCGATCACGGATAGGGACATCACCACATCCAGTCCCACAATTTGTTTGGCATTTAAATGTTAAGAAGCTGTTTGTTGTCAGACCCATTATCCTAATGTTTATATATTAAATATTTTTGTCTAGATTTATACAATGTATGTAACGATACTTGGAACTAAACTTCATCAATAAAACTGCAGAAAGACTGCCAAGAGATATGTTAGCTGAACTCACACATGGCTTGCCCAACAGGTTACTTTGAAATCATTGAAAAAGATACTGGACACAGGCCTTAATAAAGTGAGTTAGTGTTGAAGATTAGAGTACTCCCCTCTTCACTCTGAATGAGGTTTTGTCAAACTACTCCCCATGGTAAAACATTGAACAATCGTCAATTTCATTTGCTTCCAGTAACTGCATGAAGATTTGCTACCTTTTCTATGTTTTGATGTCATTGACATCTAACTTGTGACGTTTTATTGGGTAGATATTACCAGTAGGTTGGGGGCGGGTTTAACGAGCCTATCATACTGTCAATGGATACTCAATACATACAGTACACAGTATCCTTGTAGACAACGGACAGGTTTAAATATTGTCTGTCTTCTTTTGTATATTGACCAGGGGCAGTCCATCAAACTAAACATCTGACCGATTCACTGACCAGCCCTGTGGTCACTGTTACTAAGCATACATATCTGATCATCAAATGTCAGTCAGTATCAATCACCTGACATGTCTAGGACACATACAGTTTTCTTTCTCTGGTCAGAAACCTGTAACAAATACATGTTACTAGCCAAATATCATCATTTTGGTTATTCAGAAGAAGTTGTTTAAAGGTGTTTTATGACAATTGACCCCTGTGACCTTGAATATGGGCAAAGGTCATTCATTTGAACAAACTTGAAAGCCCTTTATCACAGCATGCTACTGACCAAATATAATCAACCTGGACGTTTTGGTTATTCAGAAGAAGTTGTTCATTAAAAGTAAAACCTTGACGCTGGACAACAGATGCTGCACCATGGCATAAGCTTACTTGACCCTTTGGGCCAGGTGAGCTAGCCAGGTGAGCTAGCCAGGTGAGCTAACAAGGAACATCAATACCACCAGTAGTGTCACTGACAGGAAATTCAGTCTCTACAATAAATCATTTGTCTGACTTCACTATAATACAAACTGCCAATATCGGCCAATATCCATTATTGAACACATCTGTTGTGAAAAACATAATCAACCATAGGTGGTGACTAGCAAATGAAGATGTGTTAAGAAAAACTGACAGTACAGATGTAACTTGGCGACTTATTTTTACTACAGAAATGCCAGAATTATCTAAATTATGAACAGTTTGGTTCATCTATACTTTAATTCTGCCTGTGTTTTAATCCTCCTGTAACAAACACGTTGCTTCTAAATAGTGTCAAATGTCAAATCTACTTAATTCTGCCTTTGTTTTAATCCTCCTGTAACAAACACGTTGCTCCTTAATAGTGTCAAATGTCAAATCTACTTAATTCTGCCTGTGTTTTAATCCTACTGTAACAAACACGTTGCTCCTTAATAGTGTCAAATGTCCAATCTACTTAATTCTGCCTGTGTTTTAATCCTCCTGTAACAAACACGTTGCTCCTTAATAGTGTCAAATGTCAAATCTACTTACAAAGCCGTACATGGGAATGTCTGGAGCAGAACACCAAACCAAGGTGTTACATTAAACTTAACAAATCTATATTTACACTGATTACAAATCAATTAAAAGAATACAAGTGGTGCACCCACAGATGACTTTGAAGGCTGGAGGGTCTGCAGGGTCTGCCGTCTTTGTTACAGACTGGCGGTATCTCTGACTGGGTACATAGGTACAGGTATCTCTGACTGGGTACATAGGTACAGGTATCTCTGACTGGTACATAGGTACAGAAATCTTTGACTGGGTACATAGGTACAGGTATCTCTGACTGGGTACATAGGTACAGGTATCTCTGACTAGGTACATAGGTACATATATCTCTGACTGGGTACATAGGTACATATATCTCTGACTGGGTACATAGGTACAGGTATCTCTGACTAGGTACATAGGTACA